TATTATTATTATTATTATTATTATTATTATTATTATTAGTATACATTGTGTAAGGAAACACTATCAAAATTCATGGGATCACCATAAGTTTACAAGTTACTTGCAGGTATGTGCATGCATATGCACGCACATGCACATGCACACACACACACACGCACACATGCACACACGCACACACAGAGCCAGTAAAGAATAACAAGAGATGATTATAATTAATGGCACTGATGTAGAGCATAATTTAATCTTTGGGATCACAGCTCCCTTGCACAGGTGCCCTCCTCTGGTTTAGACACTACTTTAGACTGTCTTCAGATACAAACTATGCCACTGATTATGGAGACAATGTTGTTGAAATTATTCGAATTTTCTAATGTGACACATATAAACACACACAAAACACAATTTTACAAAATCTGAGAGAAAAGCATCCCCTACTTTCTAGGTGTTAGAATATCAAGAAAAATGCAATCATCATTTTCCATTCACTAATCGAGAAGTGGCTGAAAATTTTATTTGCTAACAACAATTAAAAGAAGTATGGTTCACAAAACAGAACAACCCTTTTCCCTCTACAGGCAGAAAATGACCAACAGTCAAGAATGTTCCCAACTGTCCCACAACATCCATATGTAGGAATAAGTAATTTTTTTAAAAAAAAATATTCAGCCTTTCTAAAATCTGCATTTTTTTTTTGTAAACATGCAAGAAAGAACTTGAGATTTAAAAATTAGAAAAGCTGGAGAACATAAACTTTCCATCAAGACAGGAAATCTATAGCTCTTAAAAGTGTGATTTTGAACCCCTCTGTCTGAGGCACAAAACTGGGGTTGTCACCTTTCTGCCAACTTTCTCATCTTTCATAGCATGGAACAGAGCAGGTACACTATGGTCCTTGTGGTGGGAACAGCTGTACTTAAGAACTTACCAAAATTTACCAGTTTCTTACTTTATGGGATTGATTTTTTTTTTGAGATTTTAAAGTGGGGTGAGAGAAGTGAAACTGAAAGATTTGGCCATCTGTAACAACAGGTGGGAGATTCAAGATGGCAAGGGAGGGGTGTGCTTTGTTTTTTGAGCTTCGTATGCTATTTTCCCATTTTGATGATGATATCTAAACAAGGCACTCCTTTGAATCAAATTGGCTATTTTCTGGAGTAGAACAGCCCAGAAAAATATTTTTGTTAAAACAATGTCCATCTACCTGAAATCTACTCCCTTATTTAGAGAAGAGACAATATTGATACTGAAATTAAAGTTAATGCCAACACTAGGTTGCTTGTTGAATTTTACACTGTGTTGTTTCCCTAGCCTTCCATTAATAATAATAAACAATAATAATTAATAATAACAGGTAATTGTATGTCACATTTTAGCCAATGTCTTGCTCATTTACAAATGAAAAGAAGGTTGATATGTTGAATGGGTGAAAATTCAGATCCAGTTGCTGATGAAATTGAATGTAGATTATTTTATTTATGTAAACAACTCTTGCAATAAGTTCACAGACTCTGAACAATAAGCACTACCAAGCAACTTTGTGCAGTAGAATTTGAGACTTTATCCAGAAATTTTAGGAATTACTAATTTTCAATCAATCTGAGTAGGATTCAAAGGATTAATTTCTAATATTTGCATTTTTCACACACTGAAATCACCAACCAGAGATAATATCTAAATCTGATAGTATGGCCCTGCACTGTGATGTATGAAAAAAACTCTGATAAACCAAAAACAATGATGAAGGGAGAAGCAATATCAAAGAAGGCTCCAAAGAAAAATGAAAAGAAATGCAAGTTCCAGTGCAAATAACCAGCCAAATAACCTGCAAAGGACAAATTTGTATTCTTACACCCAAAATAACAATTTGCTACTGATTTGCAAAGGTGACCACATTGTTTAATATACAAGAAATGAAAAAAAAAATCACTGGCATCAGTAGGAACCCAATAACCATAGTTTGTGTTGCACTGGAGGTATGGCATAATCCCCTCCTTGAATTTACTGAAATAATGTGGACAATTTCTAGAGTGAGTGGGGGCTCACCAGCATTCTCTGAAGGTACCAGTGAACACACAAACTCTAGCTAGCATAATAATAATAATAATAATAATAATAATAATAATAATAATAA